GAAGCAGCCTGAAATCGCGCTCCACGGAGCAACCTTCTCAAGTGTGTGTGAGAAAGGGTTACGAATCACTTCTCAACAACGCAGCAGTGCAACTGTGGTCTTCACTGAAACTTCCACGCCTGGCACTTCCAACATGCCCACTGTCCAGCATGTCTTGGGTGGAATCTGTTTCGATGTCTCGCAGGACAGGAAAGCCAAAGTGACCAAGGCGAAACCGGAAAAACCTGAGGCGCAGAGCCGTAAACAGAGCGGCACAGGTTACCACGGACCACGGTCGGACACGGCCGCAAAGCCGGGGCTGTTCGTTTGGATGTTTGGATGGCTTTTTCGTTTTGCTAGGATCCGGGCTTGCGCTGGCGGTCGAAGAAGGCTGCAGAGGCCTGACACCTTTTGTTTGTTCGTTATTCTTTTTCAAAACATGTCAAAGACATCACGTACTGACAACATGGTAGACCTTCGGCAGTGTGACATTTTCACAAAGTACTTATCAAACAAGTCAAGAATAGACAAGTCACATAGATCGCTTGCGGAGATAGATGCATGTGATAGCTTCAGTTTTGTCGGATTTTTGCCGTTGGACCGGACCGCTGTAGCGACCGGGTGGTCCCCGTGCCAGGCTCCATCTGCATCCCCATCTGGTTCGCAGGCTAGTCAGCAAGGTAGTGAAGGAAGCAGGAGAGGGGGCAAGGAAGACTTTAGAATACTGTGGACTATTTGCATGTGGCGAGTCATAAATGTAACCCAGAAACTCACAGGTGGACTGATCATTTTTCTTTGACTGGATGCTATCCCATGTCCTTGCCATGGCCAGGCCCGAAATTCCCGAAGGTAATCCTCTTTTTTCTCTACAACCAACAGGGGTTTTGTTCCACCAAGCGATGAACAGTCCGGATGAAGTATATATCCCGCGAGGGAGAAAGGAAGCACATGTCTGTCTCACGCGAGAACAACAATCATGTCTCAGTCTGCCTTTGCATTTTCTACGACCACCACGACCGCGTCCGTCACGTGCGTCGTCCAGGAGCTCGATGAGCTCTCCGCCGCTCAACACCTGGCCGAAGTCCAGCTCTGTGGCAGGTGGGGCCCAAAAAAGAGAGAGTTGGAGCAGGAGCCCCGGTGGTTTGGAGGAAAAAGGCCGTGCTGGTGGTGTTTGCTTATGGGGGTCAACTTGAATCTACTTGTAGCTGCGATCTCAGACAAGAAGGGTATAGTATAGCCTGGTATAGCCCAAGTTTCGGGATGATCCAGGATAGGTAAGATCGGGCCGATTCGGGCCGGCTGATGGAGGGAGGGTCAAAGCCGAAAAGGTGTTTCTTCGGGGAAGGGACCTTGTTGAAGAAAGGCTGGTGAAGGGTGGGTTAGTTGGACAATTGATGATCTCCTGCTTTCTTCCCAAACTCATTTTCAGAGATTTTGCCAACACGCATCGGTCTCAAGACTTCGTTTTGGGCGAGTCATATCTGGATGAGCAGAATTTCCGAGGTATGGGGCATGCACATGGCGATGCACATGGCAACACGCACACCAAACCTCTTAAACCTGTTCGGTTCCAAACCCTTCCCCAGGACTGTGCACACAAACGACGTTTGCTGGCTGTTGGTCACGTGTGGACTGTGTGTTTGCCTCACAGTCCGGGCATGGCGCGAAACATCACGAAATCATACTAAAGCGCTAACTTAGATTTTCAGATACGTATTTCGATATCATTGTGGAGTTGGGTAGGAGCTTTATGATCTTTATTCCCGGTCTTAAGGACCTTTTGCAGATTCTGCTCCAAGAGCACCCCCACAATTTCTCTCGAGACTCTCGAATGCTCTGGCCAGGCAAGGATCGTGTCGAGGTCGGTGAAAGGCAGGACCGACGACCTCGACACGGACCGACCGATGAAGGATGATCGTGACTGATTTCCCCTCGGACGGACGCCCGGACACGGACACCGGATGGACCCGGAGACTGGCCAAAACCACGTTAACGATATTCAACGCGTGTGCAATGGATGTTCTTCCTCAGAACATTGGATTCAATCCGGCGCGCCCCCCGAATTGGTCAGGGTCTTCAAAGAGGAGAAGGTGCCTTGGGAGCTGCGCTTCTGCGCGTTGATGTCCATCCGAGCCGTGTCAGTCGTGTCGTTTTGGCCACTCACGTCCGGTTGTGAAGTTGTGAACACTGAATCAGTAGCAGAGTTGGGGTCAGGTTCCATTTATTTGTCACAATCCGAACCTTTGATTGGTGGTTCAATGATGTTCAATGGTTTGCTTTGCCTGAGATGATTCATGCCGTTAATTGTCAGGTGAGTGAGTCCATAAATCCGAAGCATTCTTAGCTTCTCTCAGCTGAGTTCAGCTGAGGCCAGCTCACGAAAGGTCTCTAGTCAGGAGATCATGGGCGGGGACTTCAGTTTGAAGCCGCCCACGAAGCAGAAGAAGAGGATGAACATGACGCTGGTGAAGGCAGGCTGCAACAGCGAACACGCGTAGGGTGAACGCGCGTTTTGGGCCCCGTAGGCCGCTGGAGAGGTCCCGCTTCCAGACCACACCCGGTAGATGAGATAGGGATCAATTCGAAGGGCGGCCGGGCCTATAAGGAGTGAATAGGAGTGACCTGTGCAACTTTTCTTTTTTTTGTTTTGTTTGCTGTGTTTGTTTGCCACAGCGCCCTTTGCACAATCAATCAAATTCCACAGCGCTGATGCGTGGGAAGCTCAACACGACAACATGTCATTGTGTCTTTTGTGACATGTTAAAGACAGTGTGAACTTGTATCCTTCCGTGCCACAATTTCAACGCCAAGACGACGCTAAGATACGCTAAGAGTTGCCACACTAGAAACTGAAGATGGTTTTCTCCCGCTCAGTCAATCACGTAACTGTGACAGTGAGAAAGCCGCTATGTAACACTAGAACACTAGGAGTAAAAGGTGCTGCCAAGACTTGAGTAGCCCATGAAGTTGATATCTTGGGTCTGTCCTATTACCTGTAACAGTCAGTAAACAAGCCAATCACTCTTTTTGAACAAGGCCTGCAACCTGACCTAACCATCATCATCCACTCTCACTGGATAAGATAGAGCCAACTGATCTCACTTCCAGCACCCTTCAACAGGTCACCACCTGCGACGTTTAAGATTTTTGTATGCCTGCATTTCAGCCACGATTTCGGAGACCTGTAGAGTCGGGTCCTGGCTTGTATATATATATATAGTTTAGTTAGTATACATGTATATGCTATTCTTCAACTGTTCGTGCTTATATCCTCCTTTTTTCTCGGTTTTCATCGTTCCCGATGCCAGGGACCGAGAGAAGCATCTTCTTCTGGAGGTGTGACCGAGCGTTGACGAGCTCTGAATGAGCTTGGATAGCGAACGAACACGGTGAACGGTCAGCATGTACAAGTTGTACAAGGCAGATCTGCGTGATACTTTTTAAAAACGAATCCTGGATCTCTGAGTGAACATGTTTCAAAAGGCCCTCCATGTTTCTATTATTCAATCATGCTTCCTCTCTGATTCTCCAGCCATTCCGAAGGTCTTCCAACATCCGTGTCTTTTTCGGGCGCCCGCCCTTGTTGGACGGTCCAGACGTGGTCGTCGAGAGGACTGGAGCACACGATCCTCAAAGACTTGGGTCCCAAAGGCATGGAGGCGCCGCGTGACCACGGGGTCCTGCCCCCGCAGGACCCGACGGGTCAGTGACGGAAGGTCACCTGACACGGTAGGAGGTGCGTTCTGTGGTGATGTTTGTTTCAACTATGACGGTATGGCAGCCAGCATACGTATGCAATGCCATATATAGCAATTTGACATATGATGAAGTATGATGACATATATATATATATACGATGTGAACAGGGCCATACAGGGCCTATATATATATATATATTCTAGAGATGAGACGAAGTCATGTTCAGAGCCAAAGGCATCCAAAGAAGGTCAGTTGGATTGTCTCTTTCGAAGGAGAAAGGTCTTCATTGCCTCTAGCATCCTCCAGCCATTCCAGGGCGAAACTCGACATCCTCAAACATAATCATCTCAATGGGACAATGCATGATTTGACGTCTCGTCCGTCCGCAGTGACATGTTTGTATTGCCAGCCACATTGAAGAATGTCGCAGGTCGATGTAGGTTGTCGGGTGTCGTTGGAAGATGCTGGCTTTGAAGTCGTATGTCAGGCCTTTACACAAGCTTTGAAAGAAGGCAAGCAACGTCCTGGTTGTGTGACTTGGCTGTCAAGCTGATGTTTGACATATTCTGAGATGACATTTGTTCTTGGTGTTTCGAGCTAGGGACTCCAACGAGTTTGTTCTTGTGTTGGTTTGGATTCGAAGACCACATGTTGTATTTGTCTTCTCAACTTTGGCTACAACTCCGCGAAGGTTGTTAGGGAAGTGCAGTAGCCTCCAGGCAGCCTGAAACTATATAGACTATATAGCTTAGATATGCTTAGATCATTCTTTTGGGGTTTATCTTCCATTCATCGAAGTTCGGACCGGTTCTGCCCACCCCAGTGATTCGGTGAAGCCACCGAATCCCCGACCGAACCCTGCGAGGTCAAGCTCTGTTTCGTGGGCCATGCGCGTGCTGGAAAGACCTCCACGCTGAAGGCGCTTGCAGACAAGCCTTTCGATACACAGCAGCGGAGACTCGATTTGTGGCGGCCGAGATCGACGTGTGGGGCGGCCGCAACGTGTCGTTCAAGGCCCAAGGATCCTGAAAAATGGACCACCAAGGCCTTGAAATTTCACAACCCCTGTCGAGTTCCAAACAAATTAAAACATATTTTCTTGAGAGTGTGAGGAAGTGTTAACCACTTGCTTTTCGGTGTAGAAGGGTTTTCGCAGCTGAATCCTTCAATCAGACATATTGAGGCAATTTTCCTTCATGATATTGTTTACTCAATGACGCGGGGCACAAGCAAATAGCACAAATGAACATGTGAAAAAGTGTCAGAAAAGGCATAATTTAGGAATTGGTGAAACCTCGTGTTTGTCCATTTGTCCTGACAAGTATTGCGAGTAGACCACCTGGGGCGCGGTGTGTGCTGATTTGTTGCAGCCAAACCAAACAACGCTGCTTTGCAGTATCCCCTGCTAGAATTACTCAGGGAGAAGAGTTGACGGCAATGGTCGCAGAAACTTGCACCCGGGAAACATGTAGGATTTTTGTGTGGAACGTTGCTCCCAGAAAAAAATACAGAAACATGTTTTTCTTATACTATTTTTGGATGGAGCATTCCTCACCAAAAACAACATTATTATTCTTATATTTTTCTTATAATTTGCATGCGTGTTCCTAAATTTGGGGCCCCCAAAAAAATGCACCTGTGGCAGGCAAATTCTTAAGTTGCTATTTTTTTTCCTTTTATATGTTTTGCTACCAGAAAATTTAAAACTTGTATACAAAACATTTGTTTCTTATTCATTTTGTGTGGGGCTTGGCTGCCAGGAAAATCATAAGACAACGTTTCTAAAACAACAAGAAATACCACAAAGCGCAGTGAAACAGATTACCCTTGAATCTTGGCTTTTGAGGGGTAGATGTCACTGTCAAGATGTAAAGCAGATCGCTCCATTGAAGGAGGTTTACTTCGAGGGCCCAAAAGAACTTGTTCTACACATTTATTGGTGGCTGACAGGTAAACATGCGGAGTGAGGGCCCAGTATTCCTGGAACTGTTCAGTGTGTGGGTAGATTGCAACCAGTGCAACTTGGTCTTCGAGCCATGAAAAAGAGGAAAGGCTGCTTTGCGCTGAGAATTTCACCCCAGGTAGCCCCCAGCCCATTATAACTTATAAATATTTAAACTTGCATTATAAGCCCTAGGTTGCGAAATTCCATAAAAGATGGTGCTTTGTTTGGATCTTCCTCTTCCAGACTGCAATTGAGATATTATATGTAGAGATCTGATCGGATCGGATCAACGGTTAGCTCCCGACATCCAAGGAGCACACACGGTGTGGAAACCTTTGTTTTATCCAATGAGCAGCTTGCCTGATACGAGTAGGGGGGCGTCGTTCGCAGGTGTCTTTTTTCATCCAGTTCTGGCTGCAGAAAACTCTTGCTGAAAACGCTCTGAAGGGTCCTAGTCTTCTGCAACTCGACACAGGCTCGCCTTCTGCCCCACGACCCGCACGGCCAGCCGAGGCTTTTGCAGATCTCCAAGCCCGAATCGGTGGCGGCCGCGGGTCTTAGCTGTTTCAGACCTAAAGACCTGAGCTGTTTCAGACCTAAAGACCTGGCCAGATTGTGAGAAGAGACCCCTCGATCCAGGACGCACAGATTGGGAAGGGAAGAAGTGAGAGAGTGGCAGCGATGCCGGCAGCGCAGCGGGAAGTCTTTGCTTTGTTTCGTCTTCGTTTCGTCTTCGGACTCGATGTGTGGCAGAACGATCCGAACCAACGCAGAACAGGAAGAATGCACACAAAGCAGGAATTGGGCAGCGTTGACCAGCCGACGACTCAGGCGGGTTCGACGGCCACTCCTTGGGGCGTCCTGGAGGGCAGCAGCGTTCGAGAACTTCTCAGCAAAGGAGTTGCCAAGCGTTTGGCACAACAGTTGAGACTTGGTGGTACTGTTGTTCGTTTCTGCCTCCTCATCAAGTGTTTCTATGCTTTCTTCCCCCCCCAAAAAGGCGCCCGAATTCCCCCCCCCAAATCAAACGGGGTATGACCGCACGGAAGGTTCCCGTGTTCTTTGTTGTTCGAATGATCCAATGCAGTTTCATTCTGGTCCCATGCCCCATGTATAATATGTATAGATTCGATTGCTTGGAATGGCAGCTTACTTAAATGTTTCGTGCGCATCAACCATGTTTTTGTGGTATTTTTATTCTGTACTACCACGCACATACATTTGTATTGTACATATCATTGTGGATCAAGAAGACACAAGTGCCACAAGCATCGTCAAAGGAAAGATCAAAGCCAGAAGGAAGCCCGACAGGAGCCCCGACGTGACGTCCACTCGGCACTGAGCGAGGCACATGACATCGGTCAAATGGAGCCTTCAAGCAGTCAGGGAGTACTAGTAACAAGGGCGTTACTACTAGTAGCTAGAAATAGCTAGAACCTACTAGTAACAAGTGCATCGCTACGTTTGTAGCTTCTTGTTACTAGTAATGCACATGTTACTAACATTAAACAGGTGTGCTTCACCGTCACCAGCAAATCTCAGCTAAGGAGATGTGGATGTTTTTGTCGCAGAATGCTCCAAAGCTGTTCTATCCGTCTATCCGTGCTGAGCAGGTATTGCAGCAGCACTGCAGAATGGTCCGTTTTCCTCGCGGGGCGGTCTTTCGGTCATCGGGTCATCGTGGCAAACGTGAGGAGACACCAGAGACAAGACAATCCTCAATCTCTCGGTCCTCCAGCCGCCAGTTCAAGGATCCGCATGGGCGACCAAGGAAGGGGAATCAATGGGATCAGTCAACCTGGATGGCTTTTACATTTTGTGAGCATCCAACACTGGCTCTGTTCCAAGGTTCAATACATCAAACTCTACTGTTTGCAGTTTGTATCTTTTTGCTGCATGTTACGCAGTAGCCGCTTAGCCTACATTGCTTACATGCAAGCAGGGTTCCGATCCTCTCCAAGAAACAAGCTGACCGGGGCTGCCAAAAACTGCCTTTTCCCTGTTCGGAAAGGAGGTTGTGCATGCTTCGTGCATGCTTTGTGCATGCATCGTGCGCAGGAGGAGAGTGGCTCACACTTCTCGGACTTTTCGGAGATGCAAGAAGCCTGGTTTTTGCGAATCCGGTGCTTTTCTTTAACTTTCCCTCTAAAAAAAGGCACTCGCCTTTGCTGCGATGTATCGTCCTCCATAACTTGGGTCAAGGCGAAGCGGCTTCGCCTGGTTGGCCCCATCCCTAAGGAAATCATCAAGATGCCCATGGATCTGGTGGCCAAGGCGATGAATCAGACCGGCCCAGAGGACCCAGGGGAACGAGGAAGGAGGGCGGCTTCTCCTCCAACGGGTTCCGAACTGCGAGGGGAAGGGGAAGGGGGGAAGGGGAAGGGGGGAAGGGGAAGGGGAAGGGGGAGGTGAACAGGTGTTTTCCCTCCGTGTGCCAGAAACTGGAAGTATGGTTTTCTTTCAGATTTGCACTTGTAACTGGCCAACAGTGCTCATGCAGATCAAATCAGGCAGATGTTTCGCTTGACTTGAGATTGGATTCCCCGCTCACGCAGTTTGAGGTTGGTGAAAGGAGTTTCCCAGTCTTTGCAGGCAGCCTTTGCCCCCAAAAATGTATTCAGCCACCAAAAAAGGCACAGCTGAATGGACCTTATCCAACTGTTGCACCCCCACCCCCAGTTCCCCCACTGCGCAAAACATAACCAAAACATACCGAACCTCCCCGGCAGCTGTTGCACCCCAACCCGCAGCTGGCACTCTTTTCGCCGTCCTCGAGTTCTCGGGAGGATCCGGAGCAAGTGGTCCTGCAAACCTGGGACTTTGCTGGGCAGGAGATGTACTACAGCATGGCTCATGTCTTCATCACAGCTCCAGGCGACGAAGAAGAAGAAGAAGAAGAAGAAGAAGAAGAAGAAGAACGATAATGTGCAAAAGAAATCATCGCATGAACTCGTGGGGTCTTCGGGATGGGCAACCCCAAGAGTTAGGCGGTGTGTTTTCAGCCATGCTTTCGGGCTGAAACCCACACACTTTCTGAACACCACCCAGTTCGGCAGCTCGCGGTGTTAGAATTTCCGGAACGGACAGAGACCAATCCCGACTCTCTCTGGTCTCTCTCTCTCTCTCTATATGCATACTTGAGTTGGTTGAAAAAGGGCGAATGTACGGCATCTATTTCCATGGAGTGCGTTGCGCAGCCAGCAACATGAGTTGTCAGGGTTGATTCACCCCAGGCGGGTGTCATGTTCAAGCACCTCATGATGCTTTTCGACCCGAATTCATGATGCTTTTCGACCCGAATTCGCAGGTATCTACGTCTTGGTTGTCGATTTGAGTCAATGGTTGGAAGCCGTCACCAAGCCTGCCTCGGTGTATTCCTGTGGCTTGCCCGTGGAGCTGTCAGAGCCTCGTCTTGCGCAAACCAAGAGGATGGTCGGTTCATGGTCCACCCAGCTAAGATATCTCTGTACCGGTGTTCGCGGTTGGTCGGGGTAGGCAGGAACACCAACCCTCTCTCCCACCTAGCATTAATGTGTACCTTGTCAGTTTGCGGCGGACTACCCATCAGAGTGCTTGGAAGCGGATGGGCAGCCCTGCAAGCAATTGCTGCAGCAGATCGCGCTCCAAAAACGGAATGGGGAGTTGAAGTTTATCCCTTGGAAGCAAATCTTGAGCGTTGTGCAATACGATCGTTCCCGCCAGTCCTGCTCCCGCTCTAAGGAGAAGTCTCTCCTGGGCCTTTTGGCGGATGTGACAGGACATGTTGACGCTTTGGAAGCTGACGTGTCTTCCTCCCCCTTCGCTGTGCAGAAGGTTTTGTCGCTGCGCAGTGTGGCGTGGGCGTTGCTGGATTGGTGCCATTTGTCGTCGGGCAAAATGCTTGTCAACAAATTCATGCTGCTGTATCATCGCGTTGGGCTGGCTGATGTGGGGATGCGCCCCCCAAACCTTGCAGAGGCTGAGTTTGCGGATGCGGAACTCTGCCGTCAACTGCAGGACTTGATGAGCAAGGGCAATGATTTGGACAGGGCTATTTATGAGGCAGTTGTGGTGCGAGACAGTTTGCGATTGTGGCTGCAGCCGCGCCTCAAAGCTCCAGCAGAGAAGGGAAGGCGTCCTTCCCCGTATGGTGCTGAAACTACAAGTGCTGGCAAGGGTCGTGGCCAAGGCAAGGGCAAGGGCAAAGACAAAGGGGTGAAGCGCGCCAAGGGTCTTTGTTGGAGCTTCCAAGAAGGCAAATGCACTATGCGCGACGAATGCATGTTTAAGCATCACTGTGATCATTGCGGCTCTGCTGAACATGGGCGGCATGCGTGCGAGAAGCTTTTGCAACTGGCGAAAGAGGATTAGGGGCATTGCCTCGCTCCCATCATGGAGCAATGCGGGAGCGAGGTAGTAGCAGACCCTGCAGGCTGCCCCTCGCTGCCAGCTGGTAGCGCTCCACCCTGGCAGCCTGCGGCTTTCCGTCAAGATGCGGGCCAGGCTGACGTGGCGGGGGTGGCTCAGCAGCCTGAGAGTGGTTCTCCTGCAGATTATCACCGCATCTTGCTGAAAGACCCCATTGTCTGCGGTGCGCAAAGCAATTTGGTCTTCCATGCCGAAAGATGCTTGCTGCCGGGCGGCCGCGCTGTGTGGCAAGACCTTGGAGCGTCCGTTCTTCACTGACTCAGAGGTGCATTTGATGCAAGTGGCCGTTTGTTCAGCTTTGGGTATCGATTCGGCTTGGGCATTGGAGTCCTTTGAACTCACTCCGTACAAGTTCAATCTGCTGGAAAGTTTGGCTCTGCGTATGGATGATCCAGATGTTGCTGTGTGCAAAGTGCTTCGGCGCGGGGCGCCTACGGGAGTACGGGAGCCAATCCCTGCATCTGGTGTTTGGCCACCTTGTTCTGGCAAATGGGGTGACGAGGTGGCTGAGGCTTGCGATTTGTTCTGGTGCACCTCCAATCACATTTCTGCAGAACAGGAGCCGGCGAAAGTTCGCGCTTTAGTCCAGAAAGAAGTGGACCTGGGTTATTTGGTACACATTGCAGGGGGGATGTCGGCAGTACAACAGAGATTCCCGGATGGTTCCTTGGCAATTGGCAAGCTGGGGCTCGTGACGTGCGCTGGAAAAGAAGACCGGCTCATTGGCGACTCCCGCGCCAGCGGGGCGAGCCCGGCGGCCAGATTCCTTGAGCGGGCGGAGGTGCCTTCGCTTTTCTTATTCACTGCTGCGCTGAACAGGTTCGCCGCTTGGCGAGGTGTGGCGGTGGACCCCAAAGAGTGGGTGTTGTTCAGCGTGGACATCAAGGGGGGGCTCACAAATCTATTCGTACGGCTGCTGAAGATGTGGGCTTTTCGGTATTCTCACTTGAAGGAGAATTCTACGCATACGTGGTCAACCACTTCGGGGCCGCGTGGTCGGCGTATTGGTGGTCGAGGCTTTCTGCTTTGCTGTTACGAACCATACACTTCCTGGTGCGCCACCGCCACCTGGGGGCGGTTTATGTGGATGATTTTCTATTCCTCCTGCCGCGGGGGGCGTTCGCGATGCTGGTGGTGCTGGTGCTGGCTATTTTGCAAATCTTGGCTGTGCCATTGTCCTGGCGTAAACTGGCATTGGGTTCCGAATTGACCTATTTGGGGTGGCAGTTGTCCTTGCATTCTGGTTTCTGGGCGTCCTTGCCGGAAAGCAAGCAAGCGAAGGTGCTTAGGGAGCTGGCTTGGTGGAGGTTGCATCCGCGACGGGTGCCTCGGAAGAAGCTCTCTCAGCTCTTGGGGTTTCTGCTTTGGGCGACTCAAGTGCGGCTCGCATTGCGAGCTTTCCTTGCGCCTCTCTTTATCAAGCTGAACAAGCCAGGATCACGCTTGCAGTGTCTGAGTTTGGGGCAATTAGAAGAGCTGGCCATGATCCTGGGGGACGGGCTGGTAGTCCAGTCTGCTGCTGCAAGAAGCGATATTCAAAAGGGGTGGCGTTTGCGCGCTGTGGGCGGCAAGACAGTTGATTGTGTCATCAATGCGCGTCGTCTGCTGCAACAGCCCCGAACGATCACGGGCAAGATTTGGGTCCGGTTTTCGGCATGGACTCCCTGTGTGGATCTGGATCCGGTTTCGTTATCCTCGTTGCACACTTTACAGCGGGTGTTGTGCACCAACAGTTTCTCTTGGGCCGGTGAGAGGGTGGCTGAGGACGCTGCGGCGGATGCCTGGGCCGGGTCTGCTCTCTCAGGCATAGGAGGTTGGTTTCGTGCCTTGGAGTCAAACAAACTGTTTTGGTTCCACCTGGAAATTGAGCAGGGCCAATTACCCGATCTTTGGCTGTGGCCGGAAAAGATGCAAGCAGCTATATGTGCTCTGGAGCTTTTAGCGCAGCTGGCTCTGGTTCTGGCTCGCGCAAAGGTTGATGGGAACGCTCAGTTGCATTGTGCGCGCTTGCGACAATATGGCGACAACATGCCAGTGGTCGCGGCTTGCAGTAAGGGCATGTCCACTGCGCTGCCGCTGTGCTTTGCGCTGATGGCCTTGGCTTTTGCGGCTTTGGAGCTACAAGTGGCCTTGGAGCTGTCCCATGTGGCAGGCGAGCGGAATGAAGAGGCTGACTTGCTAAGTCGTTTGAACCACCCAGAAGCGAAGCCATGGCCGTTGGTCATGAGGGCCAAGTTCCCTGAGGCAAATCGGGTGCGTATCACCTTGGCGGACGTGCTGGCCCCGTGGTATAAGTTCATGCAGCGACCAAGTTCGCTAATTGAATTCGACCGTCCTTAGTTGTCACTTCCCGTAGTTGCGGTTGCGTAGGCTGCACAGTCACTCAATTTTTTGTGGGGTTTAGTAGGCGCGCCTGTGCAGAAGGGTACCAACAGGCAAGTTTGGGGAGAAGGGAAGCCTGTTGGCAGAGCCCTGCATGGATGGCTTGTCCCTTCATCTTGCAAAAGGTCGGCGCGCC